GGGAGGAAGGGAGAGAGAGGGGGGTGGGCGGAGAAGGAGACAACGAGGATCATCGAATGGTCAGGGGCGGGGTGGCCAGGAAAAATGGCCGTTTCGCTCGGGACATCCTCAAAAAAACGGCTCCGGAGGGGACTCCGAAACAGCATTATCTTGGAATCGCTCGCGGAGGGCCTCCAAACGGCCCAAGAGAGACCCCGAAGGCCCCCCAGAGGACCCCCAAAGCGCCCCAAGAGACCCCCAAGAGCCCCCAGGACGGCCCCCAAGACGACCCACGGTGCCGCCAGGACGGCCCAGGATGTCCTCAGGACGGCCTCGAGACGGCCTCCAGACGAACTCGAGGATGACGGGAAGCGCCTCCGGCGTGCACCGTTGGTTCTGGGGCTTACTTTTCTCTAACTAAGGGGTACGGGCCCGCACTTCGGAACTCGCTGGCGGCGGCCTGCGGCAGCAGAGGGACGCGGGCACCCCGAGCCAGCCGGCAAAGGTCCTCTTGCTCGTCGTCGTCGTCGTCGTCGTCGTCTTCGTCAATAACGATCTCGAAAATTACGACAAAAAACGATGACAGAAAACGACCACAAACATAACACAAAAACCAACCGAACACGGAATCCAACAACAAAAAAACAATCAGAAAAACGACCGCAATCATAAAATGATAACGACGGCGACAGCGAGAACGGCAACAGCGGACGATTATAATGAAAACGACGACCACGACAAAGGAAAGGCACGCGACGACGACGACGGACAAACAAAAGACAAGACAGGCTGGAACAGAAAAAGTAGGCTGGGCGACAACGGGTGGGGGCCCGCGTGGCCGAGAGAAAAGCACGGTGTCGACACCATGATGTGGCCAGGGCAGCAGACTACCTCGACAGACCAGCGCGGCAGGCCATCATTTAGTCTGTTCTGTTGCGTTTATGGGTTTCTCTGACGTTCTCGCCAATACGGTCTCTGACGCACGTGGTGGATAAAAAACGGCGCTTCCCGTTCTTGTCCGGTCAGGTTTTTCGTTGGCGGATTCCCCAAAATGGCCATTTCGCTCGAGACATCCTCAAAAATCGAGGTGTGGTCTGCCGTGCTCCTGTGTGGTCTGCCGTGCTCCTGTGGTCTGCCGTGCTCCCCACAGGAGCACGGCAGACCGCGCGCAGGAACCGAGAGGAGCACGGCAGACCAAGACGAGGAGCACGGCAGACCAGGCACTGAAACCGAGAGGAGCACGGCAGACCAAGACGAGGAGCACGGCAGACCAGGCACCAAGAGCGCCCTCAAGACGACGGAAAGGATGACCAAGACGAGGAGCACGGCAGACCAAGACGAGGAGCACGGCAGACTATGCCCTAAGAGTGCCCTCAAGACGGCCGAACAATCATCAAACAAACAATGAGTCTAACGTCGTCTTGGAATCGTTTTTGAGGGCATCAGTACGGCCCCCCAAAAACAAAATCGGCCCAAAGATGACCCGCAGAGTGCCCTCAATACGGCCGACCATGACGATTTCGCTGGGGACGTGTTCAATAAATTAAGAGTGTATCAGCACCGTCTGCTGCAACAACGCTGTGCTGGTCTGCCGTTCTCCTGTGGTCAGCTGTGCTGCTCTGCCGTGCTCCTGCGGTCTGCCGTTCTGGTCTGCCGTTCTGGTCTGCCGTGCTCCTGTGGTCTGCCTTCCTGGTCTGCCGTGCTGCTGCCGTCTGTCGTGTTGCTGCGCTGTGCCGTGTAAGCTGATAAACCGGTCAGACCGATGAAGAAAACGAGAGTCGGGTTACAACGGCTACGCAGATTTAAACTGCTAGTCCAAAGGCTCTCCAGAGGACCCCAACATCTCCCAAGCACACCCCGAGAAGTCCATCATCATCATCATCTCATCATCATCATCATCATCATCATCATCATCATCATCATCATCATCATCATACTCATACTCATACTCATCATCATCATCCTCCTCCTCCTCATCATCATCATTATCATCATCGTACGCATCACCATCACCATCAGCAGCAACATGATCATCACCAACAACAGCAGCGTCAATGACATGATCTGGTCTGCTATGTTCCTATGGGCTGCCGTGCTGGTCTGCCGTGCTGGTCTGCCGTGCCGGACTGCCGTGCTCGTCTGCCGTGTCGGTGTGTTGTGCTGGTCTGCCGTGCGGGTCTGCTGTTCTGGTCTGCCGTGCTGAAGCTGAAGCTTTGGGGGCTTAAAGCCAGAGAAAGAGAGAGACATAGAGAGATAGAGAGGGAGAGAGATTCTCTAACTAAGGGGTACGGGCTCCATCCCGAAACTCGTTGGCGGTTCTCTAACTAAGGGGTACGGGCTCCATCCCGAAACTCGTTGGCGGATGACGGGAAGCGTCTTCGAGGTACGACAAGCAAGCGGGACGTTCTGGCTGAATCCTTGAGTAAATATATCTTTTCTTTAACTATATGGGTTGCCGCGCTGCACGGGATTTTTCGTTAACGGATTCCCCAAAATGGTCTGCCGTGCTCCCGTGGGGTTTGCCGTGTCCTGTGTGGTCTGCCGTGCTCCTGTGTGGTCTGCCGTGTTCCGGAAAATTGGCCGTTTCGCTCGGGACGTCCTCAAAAAATCGGCTCCGGAGGGGACTCCGAAGCAGCATTATCTTGGAATCGCTCCCGGAGGGCCTCCAAACGGCCCAAGAAAGCCCCCGAAGGCCCCCCAGAGGACCCCCAGAGCGCCCCAAGAGACCCCCAAGAGGCCCCCAAGGGGCGGCCAGAGGCCCGCCAGAGCGCCCAAAACGCCCCAAGAGACCCCCAAGAAGCCCCCCAGGGGCTCCAAAGAGGCGGCCAGAAGTCCCCCAGAACGCGCGAAAAGGCTCCAGGAGTTCCCTGAGAGCTTCATATCGCCCCATAGAGCCCCCGAAGGCCCCCCCCGGGACTCCCCCAAGAGGCCCCCGAGAGGCCAGAGGCTACGACAGCCCCAAGAGCGTCCAAGATACCTCCAAGACGGCGCCGAAGCCAGGAAACGCAACAGGGATGTTCTCTGACGTTCTCGCCAATACGGTCTCTGACGCACGTGGTGGATAAAAAACTGCGCTTCCCGTTCTTGTCCGGTCAGGTTGGCCGTTTCGCTCGGGACATCCTCAAAAAATCGGCTCCGGAGGGGACTCCGAAACAGCATTATCTTGGAATCGCTCGCGGAGGGCCTCCAAACGGCCCAAGAGAGACCCCGAAGGCCCCCCAGAGGACCCCCAAAGCGCCCCAAGAGACCCCCAAGAGCCCCCAGGACGGCCCCCAAGACGACCCACGGTGCCGCCAGGACGGCCCAGGATGTCCTCAGGACGGCCTCGAGACGGCCTCCAGACGAACTCGAGGATGACGGGAAGCGCCTCCGGCGTGCACCGTTGGTTCTGGGGCTTAATTTTCTCTAACTAAGGGGTACGGGCCCGCACTTCGGAACTCGCTGGCGGCGGCCTGCGGCAGCAGAGGGACGCGGGCACCCCGAGCCAGCCGGCACGGGTCCTCCTGCTCGTCGTCGTCGTCGTCGTCGTCGTCGTCGTCGTCGTCGTCGTCGTCGTCGTCGTCGTCGTCGTCGTCAATAACGATCCTCGAAAATTACGACAAAAAACGATGACAGAAAACGACCACAAACATAACACAAAAACCAACCGAACACGGAATCCAACAACAAAAAAACAATCAGAAAAACGACCGCAATCATAAAATGATAACGACGGCGACAGCGAGAACGGCAACAGCGGACGATTATAATGAAAACGACGACCACGACAAAGGAAAGGCACGCGACGACGACGACGGACAAACAAAAGACAAGACAGGCTGGAACAGAAAAAGTAGGCTGGGCGACAACGGGTGGGGGCCCGCGTGGCCGAGAGAAAAGCACGGTGTCGACACCATGATGTGGCCAGGGCAGCAGACTACCTCGACAGACCAGCGCGGCAGGCCATCATTTAGTCTGTTCTGTTGCGTTTATGGGTTCCTCTGACGTTCTCGCCAATACGGTCTCTGACGCACGTGGTGGATAAAAAACGGCGCTTCCCGTTCTTGTCCGGTCAGGTTTTGAGTGGGGCGTCGCCCCGGTGGACCCCTCAGCCAAAAATGGCGACAGTTTCACAGATCGAAGCCCCACGGGGACGGTGAGGTAAAATCTGAGTCTGCGTGGGGCGCCACTCCGCTGGACCCCCCAGCAGGCCCCGAACGTGGCGACGGTTTCGCAGATCGCAGCCCCACATGGATGGCGAGATCGAATCTGAGTCTGGGTAGGACGACGCCCCGCTGGGCCCCACAGCGGCCCTCGAACGTGGCGACGGTTTCGCAGATCGAAGCCCCACAGGGATGGCGAGGTCTGGTCTTGTTTTACGTGGGACGTCACTCCGCTGGACCCACCAGCAGCCCCCGAAAGTGGCCGCAGCTTCGCAGACAGCAGCCCCCCAGGGACGGCGAGGTCTAATCTGAGTCTGCATGGGACTTCACCCCACTGGACCCACCAGCAGCCCTCGAACGTGGCGACAGCTTTGTTCGCAGATCGCAGCCCCACAGGGAGGGCGAGGTCTAATCTGAGTCTGGGGTGCGACTCTGATTACACCGCCACGAGGGCTATTTCGCGGCTAGGGGTGTGCGCAGCACCACAACTCTTGCAGTATTCGAGGGAGGTAAGTTTTTCGCCGACGTGCCGGCAGTACCCCGACTAGCCCGAATTTGACCCAGCACCTGGTGCTCGTCATTTTCCCCACCGACCGTGGTTGACCTACCTAAGTGTCGCGGTCTTTCACCACGAGTACGGGCTCGACTCTCAGTACCAGGACTGGGCATTTAAAGGGCTCATTGTGGACTGGGACTGGGCTGTGTAACGGGGGGGGGGGATGTGACTTTGTTTCACTGTTGAGGTCTTTCACGCTGCCGCGATCGCTGCCTCCGCCTCTTTTTCTTTCTGCTGCCGCTCTCGTCTCACACATCGATTGGGATCCATACTCATTCCCTTAGTCACCGACCGACCGACCGAGGAGGAGGAGGAGATGGAGGCGCGAGATTTGGCGCATGATAAGGATCACGAGGGTCCGTAGCCAAATTCGGCTCAAAGGATTCAGGCTCGAGTCCCTTTTTTGGTCAGGCCCCTGCTGCGGCCCCGCGCGGGTCAAGAGAACTGGCGCCCGCGGGTAGGGAGCGCGATCACACGATGGCGTTGCTGAACCAGAGGCAGCTCTTCGAGGCGATGACCAATACGTACCCGGATGTGCTGACCAGGAGCGTCTACCAGCCCATGCAGCTATCGCAGCCCTTGTTTAAGATGTCGCTGGCGGAGAAGCGAGAGCTGTTCGTGGCGGCGCTCCGCGGCATGCTCAAGGACATCGGCGACGGGAGGTCCCCCGCCGAGGTGGCCTACGAGACAGACGAGTCAGGGAGGCTGTTCTCGTTTGGCCTGCAGCCGATGTGGGAGGTGCGCGAGGACAAGGAGAAGTCGCGTCTCGTCGGCCTGGAGAGCCTCCTGGCGCTGCACACGGCCTCCTGGGGCGTCGGCCTCGTGGTGGACGTGCTCGACAACCTGCTCGACACCGACATCGACCTATACCTGCAGTTCAAGGGGCTGGAGGTCCAGGCGGCCGTGGACGCCCTGGAGACCTTCCCGAGCCTGCCGCCGATCAGCGTGAATTTGCGGCCGTCCGAGTGGCTCCTGCCAGAGGTCCAGAGCATGGTGCTCGACGCCACCCGCCGCGCGCCGGGGCGGATCGTCTTCGAGCTGACCGAGTACACCCAGGACCTGCACTTTACCAGGCTGTTCGGCAAGCAGGGCTCGCTCTCGCAGCGCCTGACGAGGACGCTGCTGCCGGTCCTGCGGCGTATGCGGGAGGCGGGCGTGAAGCTGCTGGCGGACGATCTTCTGCCCTTCAGCGTGTACTGCTTCGACGGGGAGGCGTCGCGCAAGAAGGGCCACCGCCTCATAGACCACCACGCAACCGAGAGCAGCACGATGCTCTCGAGCGAGTGGTCCGCGGTGTTCCACGGCGTGAAGATTAGCCTCGACTGGGTCATCCACGCGATGCCCCTCGGGAAGCAGACAGGGGCCGCGTTCGCGTCCGTGCCCCTGTACTCCAAGAGCATGAAGGATAACCCTGGGTACGTGGCGGCCGTGACCGGCAAGCCCGTGCCGGAAGAGGACGTGGAGAGGTCCTCTGCCCTCCGCGACCTCCAGAAGGCCGCCAAGGCGGAGCTGCAGGCCGCCCTGCAGGAGGTCCAGCAGCACCGCTTCGACATCCTGCCCGTCCTTGAAGCGACGCTGCCGCCTGCCCAAATCGCAGAGTGGGGCCTGGAGGGCGCCGCGAAAGAGCAGGGAGGCATCTTTTTCGAGGCCCGCTTTCCGCCTGCGTGGTTCTTCGGCCAGATCCTGCCTCCGCCCCGCGCGCAGCGCCCAAAGGTCTCCTCCCCCAAGAAGGCCTTCCCTTCAACATGCAACGAGGGCTAGAGCCCTGCTCGCGGCGTGAGTAACCCTGCTCGCTCGCGCGTAGGACTTGATTTGAAAAGGGAGAGGAGAAGGTCTTACGTTGAGAGGAGAGCCCGAAAGAAAGGAATTGCGGGCCTTTTCACCTTGTCACCCAGTGCCGTGTGGTGTGACTCATTATTCGGGTGACGTGCGGTACGGTCACAGTCAGAGTGCGGCCTCATAGCAACCCGCGGCCAGCACGCCAATAATGGGCTGCGGCAGGTCACTTGTGGTTGCGAGTATGCTGCATCGGTGCCCCTGCTCGTTCGCACGTAGGAGTTTAGAGGACAAGGGGGAGGGAAAGGCTAAACGTTCAGAGGAGAGCCCGAAATAGAGGACTTGAGAGCATTTTCAACCAGTGCAGTGTGGTGTGACTCATCAGTCGGTGAATGTGCGGCACGGTCACAGTCAGAGTGCGGCCTCACAGCAACCCTCGGCCAGCACGCCGGTCGCATTAGGCTGCGGCAGGCCACTTGTGGTTGCGAGTATGCTGCATCAGTGCCCCTGCTCGTTCGCGCGTAGGACTTTGTTTGATAACGGAGAGGAGAAGGTCCTACGTTGAAAGGAGAGCCCGAAAGAGAAGGTGTGCCAACCCTTCTCACCTCATCACCCAGTGCAGCGTGGTGTGACTCATCAGTCGGGTGACGTGCGGCACGGTCACAGTCAGAGTGCGGCCTCACAGTAGCCCTCGGCCAGCACTCCAGCCGCATTGGGCTGCGGCAGGCCACTTGTGGTTGCGAGTATGCTGCATCGGTGTCCCTGCTTGTTCGCGCGTAGGACTTTGTTTGATAACGGAGAGGAGAAGGTCCTACGTTGAGAGGAGAGCCCGAAAGAGAAAGTTTCGCCGGCCCTTCTCACCTCATCACCAAGCGCAGTGTGGTGTGACTCATCAGTCGGGTGACGTGCGGCACGGTCACAGTCAGAGTGCGGCCTCACAGCAACCCTCGGCCAGCACAGCAACCCTCGGCTAGCACGCCGGTCGCATTTGGCTGCGGCAGGCCACTTGTGGTTGCGAGTATGCTGCATCGGTGCCCCTGCTCGTTCGCGCGTAGGACTTTGTTTGATAACGGAGAGGAGAAGGTCCTACGTTGAGAGGAGAGCCCGAAAGAGAAGGTGTGCCAACCCTTCTCACCTCATCACCCAGTGCAGCGTGGTGTGACTCATCAGTCGGGTGACGTGCGGCACGGTCACAGTCAGAGTGCGGCCTCACAGCAACCCGCGGCCAGCACGCCGGTCGCATTTGGCTGCGGCAGGCCACTTGTGGTTGCGAGTATGCTGCATCGGTGCCCCTGCTCGTTCGCGCGTAGGACTTTGTTTGATAACGGAGAGGAGATTGTCCTACGTTGAGAGGAGAGCCCGAAAGAGAAGGTTTGCGGGCCCTTCTCACCTCATCACCCAGTGCAGCGTGGTGTGACTCATCAGTCGGATGACGTGCAGCACGGTCACAGTCAGAGTGCGGCCTCACAGTAACCCTCGGCCAGCACGCCGGTCGCATTTGGCTGCGGCAGGCCACTTGTGGTTGCGAGTATGCTGCATCGGTGCCCCTGCTCGCTCGCGCTTAGGAATTTAGATGACAAGGGGGAGGAGAAGGGATTTGGTGGCCTTTTCCACCCAGTGCAGCGTGGTGTGACTCATCAGTCGGTGGACGTGGGAGACGATCACAGTCAGAGTGCGGCCTCACAGCAACCCGCGGCCAGCACGCCGGTCGCGCTTGGCTACGGCAGGCCACTTGTGGTTGCGAGTATGCTGCATCGGTGCCCCTGCTCGCTCGCACTTAGGACTTGAGATGACATAGGGAGGAGGAGGTTTTACGTTGAGAGGAGTGCCCGAAGGAGAGGATTTGGTGGCCTTTTCACCAACTGTAGCGTGGTGTGACTCATCATTCGGGTGACCTGCGGCACGGTCACAGTCAGAGTGCGGCCTCACAGCAACCCGCGGCCAGCACGCCGGTCGCGCTTGGCTGCGGCAGGCCACTTGTGGTTGCGAGTATGCTGCATCGGTGCCCCTGCTCGCTCGCGCTTAGGAATTGAGATGACAAGGGGGAGGAGACGGTTATACGTTGAGAGGAGTGCCCGAAAGAGAGGATTTGGTGGCCTTTTCCACCCAGTGCAGCGTGGTGCGACTCATCAGTCGGTGGACGTGGGACACGATCACAGTCAGAGTGCGGCCTCACAGCAACCCGCGGCCAGCACGCCGGTTGCATCGGGCTGCGACAGGCCTTCCTGGCTGCGAGTAGGCTGCATCGGTGCCCCTGCTCGTTCGCACGTAGGTATTTAGATGACAGGGTGCCCGAAAGAGATAACTTGAGGGCTTTTTCACCCAGTGCAGTGTGGTGTGACTCATCAGTCGGTGGACGAGCGGCACGATCACAGTCAGCGTGCGGCCTCACAGCAACCCTCGGCCAGCACTCCAGCCGCATTGGGCTGCGGCAGGCCACTTGTGGTTGCGAGTAGGCTGCATCGGTGCAGTGTCTCGCTCGCACGTAGGACTTTGGAGGAGGCGCAGGAGGATGACGAGGAGGAGTATGAGGAGGAGAAGGAGAAGGATGATGAAAAGGTTGATGAGGAGGAGCAGGAAGAGGACGGGACCCAGCAGGACGGACGGGACCCAGAGGATGAGGAGGTTTGAGAGGAGGGCGAGGAAAAGGCAGACAAACCGAAGGATGAGCAGGAGGAGGAGGAGGATGAAGGAGGAGAGTGAAATGTTGCACGTGCATGACTCCAGCAACTTGCACGAGCGGCGACTAGCAGACATCACCGCGCGGAGGTTGTCCGCCATTTGGGGTTGTAATTTAATTCGCATCGACAGCGGATGGGCTGGCACGCCCAAATCTAGTGCATCTGGCGTGCGTGAGCCCAGGGGAAAGTTGGGGTGCGTGCTGCCGTGCGGTGCTTGCCCAATTCTCTCCCTCCCGAGGGGTGTGGGCTGTGGGTGCTGTTGCGTAGGTGGGACCTCCGGGTGCGTGCTGCCGTGCGTCGCCTCCCCCATGCTCTCCCTCCCGAGGGGTGTGGGTGGGTGCTGTTGCGTAGCGTCTCCCCCCGCCTGGTGGGACCTCTGGGTGCGTGCTGCCGTGCGGAGCCTTCCCGATGGCCCTCCTGCGGGTTGCGGCGACCAACGCTGCCACACAGCGCCGCCCCCCACATTCCTCCGGGCTCCTCATTTACACGTTCCGGTTCGGACATGGCTAAGTTTGTGTCCGTGGCCACTGTCGCATTTAGTTGGCACCATATTGGCACCGAAATTCGTGACATGTTTGATGCGTCTTGTGCAACTGGCGAAAGGGGTGTCGGGACAATTTCGTGCCCGACAAAAGCTGGCGTTTGGCTCAAGTGACATCATCTTTCTCCCTGTTCCTTTCCACCTGAGGGAACAGTCTAGCCATTTTTAGCTACACATTCCTCGTGCGCCTAACCGCTGCCGCCGCCGCTTCCTGTCCTGTTAGAATCGCTTCGCTCATTCCGCCGGCCCATATTGCCTCGCCGCTTGGGGGCCGTGTTGGGGCCTTTTGGGGCCTCTTGGGGCTCTCTTGGGTTTTTTTGGGGTACCTCTTGAGCGCCCCTTTTGGCATCTTGGTGGCCTCTTGGGGCCTCCTAGGGGCCTGTTGGGGCTGGAGGCTGGACTTTTTGGTTCCTGGCCCCCGTCTTGAGAGGCCGTTTCGGGGCATTCCGACGTCGGTGTTTTTTTGACGACCGTGTCGCAGAAGCCTCGCGAGAAGACTTGCATGGGGAGGTGGCAGAGATGATGGCCGGCATGCCGGCGGTCTTCCAGCCAAACGTCGAAGAGGCAACCGAGTCGAGAGCACCCGCGGCGAAGCAGCCACGGGAGTCCATCAGCTCATTGGCCAGTTCCACATTCGTGAAGCGGACAAGGCCAGAGGGGGCGACCCCGGGGGTTGTGCTCCTGGGTCGCCTCCCCCACCGGCCAGTCCGCAGAGGGCTTCGCGTGATGAGCGCCTGAAACTCAGTGCAGCGAGGGCCCCCATTCCCGCGCTCGCTCTCCGCGGGCCTGAGGCAGTGGAACCGACCGTCGCGGGACTTCGAGGGTCCCGTCGGGCAAATCGTCGTCCTCCGCTCACACGGCGTGCTCCAATGCATCGAGCTTCCGCATCAATGACTCATGTGCCAACAGAGGTCCCGTGTGCGCGGCATTCCCTGAGCAGTGCTGCCCAGGGAATCAAGGACAGTGCCAGAAGGTAGTCTGTCGTGCATGTTCGGTCAGCTTCCACCAATGCAACTTGTTGTTTCTCTGCCTGGACAGTCTCCCGCCCGCGGCGCATAAGTGCATGGCGCTGCGTGACCTCGAATGGGAGCAGGCCGAGGAAAGTTTGCGGGGGGTCATAGCCGAAGAATGGAACCGGGAGATGGCACGATTGAGAGGCCAGATCCTGAGAGCCGAAGTTCACCAGCGCGCAGCTGCACGTGTTCAAATCGAGAACGACCGTATCACGGGGATCCGTTCCATGGAGCAGGCTGAGGAAAGACGGCTAGCTATCGCCTCGTAGCAGGCGATGCGAGCGCCAGCAGAGCTCCCTGAACTGGCCAACAAGGTTGAGTTCCCAGCAGCTGCCGAGAAGCGCGCCCAGGCCCTTCAGCAGAGCATTGCGGAGGAGGCTAAACGCGGGGCTGAATAGGCCCAGCAGCATGCGATGGCAAGAGTCGCAGAAATGCGCAAGGCGGCTGAGGCACGTGGTGCTCTCCTTGGGGCGGTGGCAAAGGCGGCGGTTCAATGTGCTCGGGCAGATCGACTGAGCGCCGAGGCTGTTGCGAGGAAGGCGTCGGTCGAGAGTGCTGAGGCGAGGAGGCATGCGCAGGGCGAGGTCAGTGACGCTCGCTAGCAGGCGCAAGCCGCCGCCCGAACTGCGTCCGCGCTGCCGCTGAACGTCGCGACTCGATGGGCACGACTCAGCGGATGAAGTAGCAGAAGAGTGACGCGGTGGGTTCACGGCACGGAATGTTCAGATAAGGGTCGCAGCGTGAACAACTGTACTGGCGGCGGGCTGAATTCCACGCGCGGCGCCCCGGGTCCGCGACGGCCCCAGCCAACGGACGTTCCAGCGGCTTCCGCCCTGGGCAGCAGAGCTGGCGACAGGTCGCGGCGCAGAGCGACGCTTCAGCGGCGGCCAGAGCAACGGTCGCCTTCTTCCCAGCGCACTGCAGACGGGGGCGTCGTCGCGCAGGCTGCCGAAGACGTTCGGAGGCACGCCCATCCAGGAACGCCGTCGGCCCCCGCTGACTGCGTCGGCGGAGCCGGCGAGGGGCCCCCGCCCACGCGGTGCATACATAGACGCGAGGGCGCGAGTCCGATCCAAGACGGAGGTCAACGGGGCCTGGGAGGGTGCGAACCTTCAGTCTAGGAGGAACGTCGAGGACGGGTAAGCGGGTTTCCTAGTGGTTGGCGTCTTCAGCCCCCGGGGGAGTACATGGCCCTTGCCCGAGACATGGCGACCACATTGGCGGAACAGACGAACGTCAAGTGGTCGAACATCTACATCGCATGAGTGTGGCCCAATGCTGTGCCGCCTTTTTCCGCGCTTGTAGAGACAGCTGGCGACCGCCCCAGATTTTTCGGGCCGAACATCGTGGTCTACGCGAGGCAGGGCCCCCCGATTGCCGATGGGCACGCTGGCCAGATGATATTCACGTGGCCGGGCAAGACCTACATGGCCGTGCAGTGTTTCGACGTGGATGTCATGCTCCTGACGGACTTGACACCCTCATCCGCACAGAGGAGGACAAGCCACGGTCGGTCAGCCTCCCAATGGGAGAGCTGCAAGGGAAATCTGGAGGATGCTTCGGCTACAGCAGAGGAGTCCCCCCTGTGAGCTCGACAGGGAAAGGGGCGCCAGTCAGCTTGGCGATCCAAATCACTATGGCACAATATCTGGGCACCAAGTTCCACTTGTCATTTGGAGTGGCAACGTGCTGGCCACCGATAGAGGCCGCCTCCTTCGCGGCACCGCGCCCAAGGCGAGCGGCGAGCTTCGTTTCCAGCTGGAACATGAGGTGCTCGAGCTGGTCAAACAGTTGGTCGACATGCAGGCAGGATGTGCCAGAACCGAGGGGCGCTGCGTGGTGGTCTTCGGACTCGGTGACGCCCAGTCATGGGGCATCCCTCTGACCGGCGGTGCGCGCGCGGCTTGGCCAGCACTTGCTAGCCGATCTGTGGCGGTCGACAACAACCGCATGTTGCGTTGGGAAGAGATGGGGCACCCGCGCCGGATGCTCTGAAGCAGGGGCTCCGAGCTGCGCAGGTGAGGAGAACCCCCCCCCGGGACACTTGGCATTTCATGCAGGCGCTTCGCGGTCGCAGTGGAGAATCTTTCGTCGCGGACGCGGCCAAGAGTGTGCGTTCTGTATTGTTTGGGGCATGGCGGGCGTTATGGCCCCCGCCCCCCCCCCCCCCCCCCCCTGCAACGCAACGCTCCCCCCCCCCAATGCGCCCCAGTCGCTGCCTCCGTGCGCATCGGGATCCGCATGGGTGTCCGCATAGGAATCCGCATAGGGGTCTGGTCCGCAGTCGTTGTCGTCGTCGTCGTCGTCGTCGTCGTCGTCGTCGTCGTCGTTGTGGTCGTTGTGGTCGTGGTCGTGGTTGTCGTTGTTGTCGTTGTTGTCGTTCGTCGCTCGTCGCTCATCGTCGTCGTGCGCGTGGGCGCGGCTGGGTTTTTTTGTTGTTGTAGTTTTGTTTCTTCCGGGCCGATGACGGCCGTCATTTGGGGACTGGGGGGGCAAGGGGCCGCGGCCCCGAAAGTGACGTGGAGTATGATATCCTCGTGGGGAGGTATCCTCTACACGAGCTTGCCCCCAAGAAGCTCGAGCGGACCCTGGGCCCTCATGCCGGGCGATGACTGGTGCATGCATAGGGGGGCGCACACGGACTCAAAGGCGCGGTCGGTCGAACGGATGCGCGCGGCCCGCGCGCCGAAGCCAGCGGTCCCGACTCTTGTATGCCGCCGCGGTTCAGAACGTGGCGCCGTGCGACTTGTTCGACCTCGGGAAGTTGAAGATTGGGGAACGCGAGTACGAGACACTGGGCCTGCCGAGCGGTTTCGTTGAGGCCAAACAGCAAGCGGGCTGGTGGTTGTTCTCGTGCGCCGTCGATACCAGCTGGCTTGGCGCCACGCTCGGCGCGGGCGTTTTCGCCATCTCGCGCGAAGTTGATGGCGGCAGAAACAAAACTTTCAATCCTCGGGAGAAGTGGCTGGGGGGGCGCGCGCTTCTGCGGGCGCCGGAGCCATCCCAATGCGCCGCGCCGCCATCAAAGCGGGGCGCAGGAAATGTTTGGGGGCGGTCTGGACGTCGCTCGTGACTTCCAACTGATGTCTCCATCCTCGCAGACTGGCGTGGACGACGGCTCCGCGGCGGTGGGTCCGGGCGCGGGAGGCCGGCTGCCGCGTTGCTGCAGTCGCCTGTCGGAAATCGTTCGCGTAGCCGCCCCCCTGCACTTCGCCTTGCCCCGGCAGACCAACGCGAAGAAGCTGCGGATGCTTCGCCCGAAGATTTCCATGGGCGAACA